ACCAATACTTAAGTATTTTTGAAATAAAATATGTAAAATGAACTTTGCACAATCGTTCGAAAGTGTACGGTATACGTGCACACATATCCCGTTCCATGAATATCTCAAGCAATACCATAATATATAGTCAGAGGTTGCGTGCAAGCAAAAAAACCTGTTTTCGTGTGCCCCAAAACTTGGACTCACCTATACTACACAGCCAACCACACACTAAGGCCTTCCTGTCAGCTTCGATGCCTAGTTAAGCCGCGTTTATGTCCGACCACACATCGTTATTGAACAAAATCGGTGCGTTACGCCTACTGTATCAGCTACTCCAAGCGGAGAAATGTGGCAGAAAAAAAGACCCGAAGCGTGGTGTTGCGCAAGATAAATCTACGAAGATGATCTCAAAGGCAACGGGACCTCAGAGACATATTCAACGAGGATTACACGTTCGCGTCGCCTACGACGTCAGATCTTCTGATTGTACAGTCAGAAACAAATTCTGTTACGTCTTAAAATTGGTATGATTATCAATAATTGACACGCATTTAACCCACAAGCTTCAGCCCCTTCGTACAGTCACAGACTTTTGCATATACACTGTTAAAGCACCAGTACTAGGGCAGCTCATATTCAACCACGACTATTTTTATACTGCAATCGCAATCAAAGTTGAGCTAGAAAAGGATCCTGCGCGTCGAACAGAATCCAAATACACTCACCGTGCTATACCAACTTCGGTAAGAAGCATCTAAATATATTGCAAATAAGCGCTTGTTGTAAGGATGTAAGATACACGGAAGGGATGGAGGTGTTGTTTCGTGCAGGTATAACAAAAGGATGATCGTCATCGTCCAGGGCAGTGCGTCTGCTCTCAGTCTGACGAAGGGGTGTGCTACCAAATACGATAACACGAAGCGAATAAGGTGAGCGCGTTAAACCCCATTGCGAAACCCTTTTGAGGCCTGCTAAATGCTCTTTAGGTAGATCATGAGGCTCCATTTTTGATATAAAAAATATGCGATAGACGTTCTCGTGTTTGCTGAGATAAATGTGACAGCTTAATTATTCTGTCTGAGCGTCAGATGCAGCTCATGCAGAATGGTTCTCACTCAGGTTTGCGCTGTATGATGCCAATGCTTTATGCGGTATTTTCATTTTGCAGCGGAATTAGATAAAACGCATTTGAGTCGAATGATTCAAACTCCTGTTTTACAATTGTTGCAACATGGTTCCCCACCCAGGTCTCCTATTTACGATTTCATCTGCTTTAACGTAATACAGGGAGTGCGCGATGGCTGATGTAAAGCAACATACCGATGCCAATTTCGGAGAAAACCTCCATGAAATCACAAAAACCAATATCCTTCCTGCTAACTCAGTTCTGCAGTCCAAAAGAATACATTGGGACCTCGCTGCATTGAGTCGAATAAAGAAATTATCAGAAAGGGATTGAGCTACACTCTCGTTATTCTGAAAAGACTGTGAACTCATTTTGCGTTTACGCGGGCGTGTTGAAGTCATAGCACGATCTAGCTCTTACAACCCATAGCACTTTATTGAAGTTGAAGCATATCACAACATCTCTCGGCTGACCTACCTCTGACATTAGGCAGCGGTTTTGTTCATATCCACGTGTGGTGGGCTGTATGACAGCGAAGCTCATGGGTCGCATTTCCAGCGTGGCTCATTTCATTATCGGCCGAGCACCGATGCTCGGAGAGAGTGTACTCTCACCGCTCCCAAGAGAGCTCATGAGATCCCGCCACGGCTGGGTCATTATCAACCGACACTGCTCAAAAGTCAATTAATAGTCTTCTTTCATGTGTTACGATTTGTGGCCGGCAAAGGCAACAGGTGTATCTATTGGCAAGGGAAATATAATCTCACTCCAGAACATTATTGGTGTTTTAGAGTTCAAAATTAACTATCATCGACCCGATGCGGCTTCTAGTTATGACCTGACACTCCCTATGCCTGTATTTTGTCGGTATACGAGAGAGGTTGCCTAACGCACTACACTTCACAACAGCCAGTAGAGAACGCCTTGTACATCTTCGAGACTTGGTCAGTACCTACAACAGCTGCCTAATTAAGATGAATAGGGCCGTTAGTAGCAGAGGTTGAGGTGACCGTTTACCTCGAAATTTTCGGTCATGTTGCAAAGTTCGCCGCGACTCTTGTGCTTGTAGCCGAGCAAGCTTGTCCTCGAATGACAGGGAGCTAAGTGGTGACGAGCCGAACGTTGTCGCAAACCACACAGCGGTAATCAAGCAGCTTGAAAGACTCTCAATCCCGCTCCTATTGAGGCGTACATATAATCTTTTGTGAGCTACTAACATGGACGTTTACCTCTATGCATGCGTGGTGCACGGCAATTTTGCTACACATGATCCCAAATTGTTGTTCCCACTGAATCCATTAAAACCTTGCTATAAGCTGTAAAAACGGTCAGAAAAGGTATTGAATGTCCCACAACGATACCGCAATCAGCACGCGTAGTAGGTGATGCAGCAATTTTACATAGTACATGCAATTGCTTCGTCTTGCACTCTACACATAGAATACTCCAACGCAGCATACGAAGCGTGTAATGTCGTTCGATCAGCCACAAGTACCAGAATTCTTCTACTAGTCGGATGATGCGACGTCGTGAAAAAGAGATCAGCGGGACACTTGGGCTGCTTACGCAATACAAAAGATATCCCTGTCGTTATATATATATTGTTGACTAACTAGAATTAACTTTAAAACCATCTCACACCCGAAAAAGAAGAGCAAGCTAGGTGATTGACAATTTGAGAGTCTCTTGGTCCTGTTCGTAGGTGCAACACACGAAACCAACGTTTAAGCGCTGTTAATGCGTACTCGTTGGTTAAAGGTCTTCCATGTGATGGGGTCGTCGTGCACTTTGCATAGAGAAAGCTTCGACTCGATTCGCGTTAACAATTGCATGATGGATGGGTCCCCAAGGAGCAGAACCGATGATCCTCCAATAAACTACGTACTACGCAAGTTTCAATATTTAGCTCGAGTCTAGTTTAAGTTAGCACTTATTTCTTAGATCAAAACTACAATGCGAGCCCCGTGACAGTAAAGTTCCCTGCCAGGTGCAAGCTACCACATATTTCGGTTACATCCTTACTATCTCGACTCCTGTAAACTTATGATTATTCACAATTCTTGCATCTCCAGCTCAGGCAAGCGCCGTTCTAAAATGCATAAATCTGCAAAAATCCTCCAGGCTCCTTTACAGTTCCTATACATTGCTTTACGCAGTTTAATGAGTAATTTGCAATTGCGGATAATGCCAAATTTAATTCTTCAAACCGTACTCATACGAATAGTACTTTGACAATTATAAGACAATTGTTATTTATACTCAACCAATAAGACACACTTAAATGCATAATTTGAATGGCAAACATGCTGTCACTTCGAATGCTACACTTGCGCAGCTCTCTTGGATTATCGAAGGTATCACAGCATTTGCGTGTCCATCATAATGTTAAGCTGCTGTCATTGCACTCAAAGACACAATACTTTTGGTTGGGTTCGTTTTCTACCCGAAGTAATTCTTCGACGTCGGTCGTATCAAAGTCTGCAAATGGTCCTCATACTCACGCCACGACCGCTGGTAACTCTAAATTAACGGTGGATCAAATTTTAAACCACGTATCTATTATGGAGCAATGGACATGTAGTGGCTGTGGTATCGAGCTGCAATATAACGAACCCAAGCAGATTGGTTACTTTCCAAAGCAAGTGCTGACTAATGTGCTGGACCTTAAGGATCTCAAACGACTGCGCTGCGAGCGGTGCTTTCAGATGACTCAATACGGCAAGATTTCGGACACTAGAATACCATATCAGGAATATGAGCGGCGCGTTATGGAGCTGCGCAACAAGGATATCCTAATGATCCAGTTGGTAGACATACTCGACATCTCTGGGAGTTTGTTACCCAATGCACGCCACATCTTTGGAAAGAAGCCGGTTATGCTTGTGGTCAATAAGGGCGACTTGGTACCGACAAAGTCAGGGATTAGGAGATTGATGAGAAGAATTAAGCAGGAAGCCAAGTATGATAAAGTATTGATAACTATATTGATAATGAGTCTAAAAGAGCGATCGTTTGTCGTGTTAGGGAGGCAGGTATTGACAACATCATCTCTATCTATCTCGTTAGTGCTCTGAAGCGCATTGGTATGAAGGAAATTATTGAAGATGTAGCCAAGTATCGTCAGGGTCGTGATATCTGTGTCGTGGGCGCTGCGAATGTTGGCAAGTCGACGTTTCTAAATTCTTTTTTGTCTCACTTAGTAGACCGAAAGTGGCAACACAATCACCGTAAATATATGAAAATGCCCGAGGTGCAAGTATCCGAGCTGGAGGATGAGGAGAAAGCTACGATGTTAAACATTGATGATGAAACAATAGCTGAGGTCAAGACTCAGACAGCAGCAATTGGTGGTGAGCAAACAGTGGTGACTCCGTACGGGGAGTTGTATGTTGCCTCCGGTGAAGATCCAGAAATGATCGAAATGAGTTCGGAAGAGGATCGAGAGATGACAACATCACCACTACCCGGCACAACACTGGCCGTGCAGTCCCTGCCAGTCATGGTGCGGAATGAGGTGTTCAATATTCTCGACACGCCTGGTTTGATCACGGATGCAAAGCGACAAAAGCTCATCGAGGTTCTTGCATTGGATGGAGCTGCTAAACTCAAAAACGTGTTTCCCGCGAAGAATCTACCAGTACGTTGTAGATGCAGTTGTAAACGTGCTAGAGATCATACTTATTGTATACGCTATTTCTATCCATACTATCTTGTTAGGTGACGACATATCGCGTTCGTCCCGGTCGAAGCCTGTTCTTAGGAGCTCTCGTGCGTTTCGACTACGAAAATATCGGAAATGAGAAAAACAAGAACAATTTGCTGCTATCTTGGTATGGTGTGCTGCCTGGACATCTTACAAGCACTGAACGTAAGTTGAAATAAATTCTGCTAATGTTCGTGCAAAAACTTATATATAATTGCGTAGGCGCCGAGGCAACTTTTGTGAAACATGCTGGTGGTATCCTTTCACCACCAAGGGGTTTGGACGCAATGAGCTTTACCGGTCCACTCACGCTATCGCAGAATCTGTACTTGAAAGATTACACGCTCGGTAGCGTTTTGACAAAGTCTAAACCGAGGAAACCGAAGCGTACAACAGTCGTGGAGCTAGAAATACCAGGTTTTGGTTGGCTCGCTGTTACGGCTGTGGACTTAGATGGCACGACAGCGTCTCAAAAGACGTTAAATCAAGGAAAGATCTCAATCCATACGTGTCGGGGTCTTTCTGTCGTGCCGCGTACGCCGCTTTATCCGTATGAATTGTCAGATTCGAAAAGTACAACCTGGAAACGTTAGCGAGTCGAGCTTGATATAAAAAAGCAATTTTTTTCAACACATGTAGGAAATTTATCGTAATTTAGGAAAGACGTCGAAAAGAGTTCATTGATTCATAAACTTGCAAATGTTCGACAACACCACGCAACCTAAGAGAATAACCAACGCGTAAATTCAACCTATGCCTAAGAATACATTAAACAATGACGTTGAGTATATATAGTTGTCGAATTGATGACAAGGCGTGCGGCAGCCTGATTATATTTGTCGTCAAATCGACGAACGCCGCTATTTTGGTAGCTCTGCGCGAAAATTAATACAAAAGTGTGATCTTCTCGTCAACAAGGCATTCCTATCGTTAGTGTTACGTAAGCGGTAGATGCCGCGACTATTTACATTGCCTTTCAGGCTTCACGCGTTCAATCAAGATCTAATATACTAGTCAAGGGAAAGAATTACACCTCTACCGTGGAGATTTTCTGAGCACACTTAGTTACACAGGGGCCTAAAAAAAATATTGATGCCGGTATTCTTGGATGCGCAGGCGCTGCTAGGTGCAAGTAAAGACCTACAGCTTGCACTGATGTGCAACGGTTAGAGAACACACCAGTTAGGTCCTCATCTTTTTGGGTACTGAGGGTATTAATAATTATGAAAACGGCGAAGTCAGCAAAAGAAAGGTCCGTGGGACAGATCTGTTATTCTTTTGTCTTAAATATCAACATAGCAAAACAGATATTCCCTTAGCAATAGCGTTAGATAGACGTGATAATAAGTGATCTGTTTCACCTTCGAATAAAAAGCACGCTTGGCATTTGGGCATCTTAGAGGCTCTTGGTTCCGCTCTTAAGTAGACCGTACGAATTAATTCTTTGTGTGTACGCGGAATCGTCGAGTCAAAGCTTTCTCTGTGCGGTGATGAGCTGTAAATATATCTCTTGCTGCTGTGGACACAATCGTGGTCCAGTATTATGCACTCGTCTTTACAACCTCACAAACATACAAAGGTGCGATAATATTGCTCGTAAATACACGCATATACGCAGAGACTAATACACAGAGTAAATACTATTTTATGCATCGAAATTCTAAAAAAGGGTCAGAGTTTTGGGGCACACGAAAACAGTTTTTTCGCTTGCACGCAACCTTTGACTATATAATGGAATTATGGTATTGCTTGAGATATTCATGGAACGGGATACGTGTGTACGTATACCGTACACTTTT